CTAAGCTTAACTTGTCTCGTCGTGGTTTGACATGTCTTTGATAGCCACAAATTAACTGACAAAAAAATAACATTAAAGCCACGTAAAGTTAGACAAATTAAATGGTGATTAAGAGGCGATTTAGTTGAGGGTAGCAATTTGTGCGCCACCGCATTGACGAGTGCAAGTAAACAAGTAGAAAGTTTACTGGTAGGAAGGTGCACAAAATACTATACATATCAGATGTGTCACCACACATTAGGGTGATTTACTCGGCTTTTCCAAACAGTTTTCCACCGGTTTCTTCAGATATCTATAGGCAGTTATTTTGAGATCTTGAGTTTTTTACAGTCAATATAACACTTAGGGTGGCAAAAATTCCACACTGGAAACTCAGAAAACTATTTTATTCAAAATAAGAAAATGTTTCATCTCACAGTGGGGCAGGAAGTATTTTTAATTAATTAAAAATTATTAGGAAATACCGCTTCAATGGCACTAGCACTGACGCACAAATGGACAAATGTATAAAAGTGCAAAAAAGTGGTAGTAACTAATTTGTTGAAACTTTACTCCTACAAGGATTACTTCGCGGCGATTAAAAAAATTAAATCGGTTTGTTTGTACCGGCTACGAATCTCCCAAAATCCGGGTTTTTAGGATGGGTTATCAATCCGCTTTTTAAGAAGTTGGTAACCGGTACTAAAATTTCGGGTTTTTCGAAATTGGTAAACGGTAAAAAAAAAGCGACTTAATTTTTGAAATATCTATAATAAAAGAAATGGGCATTATTCATTACTCGGCTTTTATCAAATTTGGCAACCGGTCCAAAAACCGGGTTTTTCGAAATAAGTAGTCGGTACAAAAACACCGAACTACCATGCAGTAGTCCTTGTTGGAGTAATGTTTCAACAAATTTCTACCACTTCTTGCATATTTCTACATTTGTCGATTTCTGCGTCAGTGTTAATAGAAGCGATGCGATATTTTACGATAGTTTTTAATTGATTTAAGATATTGCCTGTCAAATTTAGAGATACAACATTATCCAATTTTGATTGAAATAGTTTTGTGAACAGCGTAGTATGATTTTTATCCTATGTGGAATTTTTTCCAAGTGCAGCTACATATAGAGCCAGAATGACTGTACTATTTTCGAATATCGAATAAACTGGATTTTTTTGTTATCGAGCAAACTGGCATTGTTCATTTCATGCACATCTCAACCTCTAAATAAAAAAAAAGTTTTGAGTTTTACGAAGTTTTCCTGGCTTATTCCTGTTTTGAGTTTTACGAAGTTTCCCTGGCTTATTCCTGTTTAACGCTTTCCGGTCAAATCCGTCCCTGATGAATATAAACATTTTTCCTCTTAATTACAAGGTTCATAGAGCCTCATAATACCAAAAGTAAAAAAAAAAAAATATTCAAAAATTGTTTTGGGTAGCTATTAGGGCTACCTCAAATTTGTGTAATATATTGTACAAAAGTCCGCAAACGAGTAAAAGCACTGAAGAAAACTCAATAAATATTTCACAAGGTTTGACGGAATAAAACTTTTAAATATTTCATTGAAAATGAACTTATGCACAAAGAAATTTATGACACATATAAGCAAGAGGATTGTCTTTATGAAACGTTTCTGGGCTAAGGGGTAAATTAGACGAAAAAAACCAAGAAAATTCCATAGAGATTTCTTTTTAATTTCATGTGTAAATTCTTCTTGATTTTATTTGTAATAAAATTGACAATGAATTGAAGGTTGTATTTTTCCATGTTTTCTCAATAGATGCTGTAGCCTAACGGGTGCGACTACGACTGCCGACTTTTTGGACGTGGGTGCAAATACTGTGGAACGAACCTAGTTTCTTATTTTTTTATTTTTTTTATTTTTTATTCTTTTTACTATTATTATTTTTTATTTTATATACATATATGTATGTATGTATATTGATTTATTTTTATTTTTTTTTTTATCTCAATTTTGTGTTTACGTTCTCGCTGCTAATGCTTACGGGAAATTTTAACAAGCCAATGTAATAGTGCTTCATGAAAATTACTTCTTAATTGTATGTGATGTATTCTTGAATTTATTGAAAAGTTTTCTTCTTACTTTCATGTGATGACTTCTTGAATTTATTTATATTAGATTCATATCAATCAATAGAACACCATCGGCTAGATGACCACCGTAGCCGGGTAGGTAGAGCTATAAATTGCCATTCAGAAGGTCACGGGTTCGAAGACGGGTCGGCGTGAACCTTTTTTAATTTCTATTTTAAAAAATTTAATTAGACAACCTTATAGAAACCAAAAGATTTCTTTTTGGTTTTGTTAAAAGGATTTGCCCTCTGGAAGCATGAGGAATATCTTCTTAACAAAAAACCGCAGAGATATCTTATTAGTTTTGTTCCATTTTATTAGGTGCTTTTTTCTCTGTGTGTATGTACAAAATAATTGATCTTACTGCTGATATGTTGGTATGAATATTTTATATCTTTTTTTTAGTATCTTTGGTTAAGATTTACATTAAAAATTTAAAATTTTCTCCATGAGAAAAGAATTATATAAAGAAATTTTGAAAAATTTCAGATACAATTACAATATAAAATATAAATGACCCGTTTTATAATATTATAAATCCGAAAGGGAGTTTGTTTATTTGTTACGCTTTCACGCTTTAACTACACAACCGATTCCCATTAAATTTTGTACACTGGTGCCATTTAGCCCAACTAAAAATATAGGATAGATTTGATCTCGATTATGCGAGGGGACGTGGCACCTCCCATCAAAGGAATTTTCATACTGCATATCATATCTCAGAAAATATTTTTGATGGAGTACAGGAACTTGGTATATATGTATATATATATGAATGCATATAAAATCAATTCCATACTCACGGAAGAGGGCTGCCTTCTGTTTAAATAATCAAATTCGACTTGAATTAAGGGAATTATTTATTTGAAAATTATATTAAAGAAGAAAATATTTTGGAAAGGCTTGCCACTTGTTCGAAAAGCCAAATTTAAATTAATTAATAGCAAGCTATCTGAAATATTTATATTTGGGTATCAAATGAAAGATAGCTAAGAAACCTTCAGAGTGAACATTTAAAATATTACTGAAGTATTTTTCAAGCGTTGCCACCCGTTTAAAAATTAAATTAATTTAATTTAAATGAATTACTACAATATGAGTATCAATCGAAAGGTTCCTGATAAGGGTTTTAGTTCTAAACTACATGTAGGAGAGTTGCCACCTATTTAAAAAATCAAATTTTTCTTGAATTAAAGGCATTTAATAATTGGAATATGTATCACAATATGGACGTCAGCCAAGAGGGATTTAATAGGGTTTTAATAGGAAAATATTTCGAAGGAGGTTGCCACCTGTTTTAAAAGTCGAGTCAGCGAAGCGGGTGCAAAATTTCCCTATGTAATAAATTGTAACAAAACTACGCAATAAGTAGTACATTGCTCAATTAATTTACTATATTTAGACTTTGTCCATACATTTGAGTTTCCCCAAATGCTCTTATTTAACTAATGTTAAGAAAAAGTTTCACCTAGTTTCCTTCCACAAATCTTATGGCATTTCAAAATAATTAGAAGTTTTTAATAAGCAAACTTAAAATTTTGCATAGTCAAAAGCTTTACACTAACCGACAACCGCTGACTGCTGGCTGCTGACCGCCGAGTGGCGAGTCATGACCTGAACGAAGTTTACCTTTTCGCTAAAATATTTCTCCTTCTAGCTTCCAGAAATGCAAAATGCACTTACTTCATTGCACTCTTCTCTTGCTCGAAATTTTGCATTTTTAATGAGGCAAGCGTAGGTAAAGTTATACTAAAAAATTAAAAAATCAACTACACTTGCTGAAAATCTTAAGATTTTCAATTCACTACTTTGTATGGCATTTGTTGTTGCCATAGTTATTTCTTATTTAGCTTTTTCTCTTCAAATTTGTTTTTGTGGCCGGCTGCCTCAACACGCACTTGAACTTTCGCCAAGAAGAAGCCAGAAGAAAGCCAACAAATTACATAGATTGCATTCAAAATGCAATAGAATTTAAATGTGAATTTGTTTCTGTTATTCTTGAATTATTTAGTATTTCTTATTTGTATAATAGCTCATTCATTTGTAACTGAATTCTTTGCTAAAGCATAACCGTGCGTAAACTGAAAATAGTTAATGGTAAATGCTTCACAAAAGCCTTTCTATATTTGTTATATTTACTGAATCTTGATCGTTTGTTTTTTTTTCGGTTAACGAAAGTTAAAATAAACCTACAACCTATTAAATGGAATAAGGCTTAAAATTTTCAGGTCAAAGCTTTAGTTGTATGCGTCTGTATAGCCTTTTAAGTTATATAAATAATAAAAATCATAAAATAATCTTTAATTGTGATCAAGAAATTATCAAGAATTAAAAACAAATTATTCTTTTATTGTGAAACTGTACAAACCAACTTTTTTAAGAGATTGAGTCATAATTGAAACCGTGATTTCTCAGTTTGGACCTTCGGTAAAAAATTATTTTTAATTATTGAATGTAAACAACTAAAAAAGTAAAAAAAAATATAGACGTAGTCCGCCTTTTGTTCTTATTTAAACGGTACATAACATTTTTGTGTGAACTCATATTACAAGTGCTATAAGAGGTCAAAAGTCAGATGTTCAAAACAATAAAAGCCTAATATTTCAAGAAATTTTTAAATAAATTTTTAAAAAGTTAGGTTTCGTTGTAAAGGTGATTAAACCCCCTTTCTTCTGAAATGCATATTTTTATACTTCGCATATAAAAATTTTTTATAAAAAAATATTTTAACCAAAAAAGGTACTAATTAATAATACAATTGAATACTTTGCTTAAATAAAGTAGAAAATTAACTTTAATTTTGTATATGAAAAAAATCAAAAAACAAGAAAACTATTTTGAAGCTAACATACTATGTATATACAAAATGCAGTTATGTAATTTTAAAATTAATTTCTTTATTTTATTTGTATTTTTTTCAGAGCAAACCATGACTCTACGATCATGCAGATAAAAATAATGGATACCAAAATGCATTTCTGGGTGATCCTCTTGGTAAGTGTCTCCCTTTATACAAATTATTTAAATATATGTATGTATGTATGTATACACATTTTTACGCTTTTTCACATTTGAAACACAAAAGCATTTACTTACTTCGCGGCTCCCAATAAAATATGCAACAAGGTGTTGGATTGCAAGGAAAATTTGTTAAATTGCTCAGAAATCTGGTACAGTTTCCTACACTTTCTAGCACCACAATTAATTTTATTGTCCATTCAGTGAGTTTAGGAAGCTTAGGCGAATATGAGAGTGGTGTGGCCGAGAAATTTTAAATCAAATCAAATGAATGACGACAACATAAAAAGGACAAATATTTGTTAAAAACTGTGAGATTATTTAGAACCGACGACTAAGTAATAAAAAAAAAAACGCTCATTAATTTTGTGGCAATGCTTTTCCGTGCAAATCTATGTACATAGTTTGTCAACAACTAACAGCTAAAGTTTACAAGCTTATGTATGTATGTATTTGTATTCGTTTTTGTATTCCACGAGCACCAATACGGCAACAAATGACACCCACAACAGCTGTTTTCTTTGGTTTAAAAAAGCTAATCCGTCTTTCTATTTTTCCCAAGCATAAAAAGTATGCCCGTCAGTTTATGTGCTCGCGCATTTTCAGCAGCAAATGTTTACAACTCCATTTACATTCAATAGCTATGCCGACAGTCGTTATGTAGCATTTACCTAGTACTTTTCCTTTCCCCTCCTCTTGACGGTTGGTCATTTTTTCCGCATTCCGTCTACGAGCTTTCAACAGCTTGCGATTAACTAGAACATTCGTTCTGGGTGGATACTCCATTTTTTATTACTAACTCTATGTAAATATTTGTGCTTCTACTGGTTGTAGGTGAAGTTGAGGTTGTATGTACCTACAAACATACATAAATACATACGTATGCAGGTATATAGTTGCTGGCCTTTTGCTCACTTCGGCAGGTTTTTTTTCACCACTTTAGTAGTAATTTGTTCCGCCTGCCGGCAGAGCAAATCGCAATTTGTGTGCCTTCTAAAGCCACATCAACAAACATGGCGGGCAATAAAGCTAAAACGGGAGCAGAAATGGAAAAAAATGGGAAAAAGGTCAGCTTGTAGCAACTTGCTGCTTGCTGAATAAATCAAATCCATCAATTTCCTATGAAAGCAGAATAAATTTATGTATTTGCGATTCCAAAGTAGTAGAAATGCAGCAGCCAACAACAAATCGGTATTCAAAAGCAAATCAAAGTTGGTAATTTGAACAATTTATATACGTATAGTGCTTTACTTAACTATACGACACTCACATATTGACAAGCTTTGACTCTTACTTTTTTACTTTTTATAATTTTTTTAAATAAAACTGTAGTTTACTCTATAAAGAAATGTGTAAAAATCAACAAAGTTTCATTAAAATTTCACTGATTTTATTCAGAGTTACAAAAAAAAAAACAAATTTTTGGATATTGAGTTTTATAGCCCATTAAATTCTGGTGATTCTTTTGATAACAATGTTATTCATTTTCTTCTGCACGAAGTTTAAGAAAGAGCACGAGTTGTGGCACAGTTATGCTAGATAATGAAAAATATTTTCCATCGCGAGATTGTAATTAAATGAAAACTTAAAAAAGATATACCAAAAAAAAGTAAAAATAACAACTCGTACTCATATATCCGTAGTTGTATATCGTCACCTGAAATACAAAAAGACGTAACAAGCATCATCGTTGAAATGCAAAAACTAATACATAACTAATAAAAAATTCAAAATTCACTTTTTGATTTATATGATGCGATTTCATCGAATTGAAACTTCACAGTTATGCTGTATTTGATGCCTACTTTCATTGCCTCTAATAAGAAAGTTCTTTGTGAAAAATTTACCACAAAAACAAAAAACAGTTATGATTTTTTCGAGTGACAATGAAAAAATGAGTAATTTCGCCAAAATAAGTGTTTTAAGGCTAAAATTGTTCAAATACTTGATTTATTTTTTATTGTAACTACTTGTTTCTGGAACTGCATTGATTGAAATATATGCAGGAAGAATGCTTCAGCGTTTTTTCTGGCGGGCGAAGGAAGTGACACTAATAACATAACAACTCCTGAGATTTGCTCACGATATTTTTTTTATATGGAGGAAAATTCACAACACCGTCAATAAAAAAGAAATGCCAAAAATGATTTAGAATTTGTATTTTTTTATGCTAGAATTGAATGGACTATAAAACTGCATACCTAAGAACTTTCTTAAGCTTCTCAATAAAAAGTGTGAAATTTAGATGAAGCTATTGACTATTTTTTTTCAATTTTGTGCAAAGCTTGATACTTCGATTCATACGTTTTTTTTTTTTTTTTGTTACAGAATGAACAATATTTGTATAAAAATAATAATAAGAACAATAAAAAAAATTAAGAGTCAAAACTTGTCAGCACGTTGGTGTCGTATATTATATTTATGATAAGCACTGTACGTATATATGTATACTTGGGCAAAGAATGCAATGTGTGGTGGTGAATTATGGTCATTAACGTCGAGTTGTGCCTAATTGACCTCTACATTCTCTAAGTGGATGTGAGTGATGTGACGGCCGTATGGTTTTATAAGTAAATAATGAGGCATCTTGAGATACTTATGAAGTTCAATAAATTTAAGGAAATAGCGATTGGGTAGTATATGAGAGTGGTTATAGCAGAAACTAGAAGAAAAACACAAAACTTTGAAACCATACATTTATGAGTTTTACAGTATGTTCTCCAAAGAAAATACTTTGTGGTTTAAGATAACCTTATTTTCTCTGACTATTAACACACAACTAAATTTGTTTCCATATATTTAGCCTAGTCTGATGAGGAAATGTGGTGATTTTCAAAATAGCTATCACTTCTACCATTTTTTCACATTATTGTTGCTTTTCCACAATAAGTTTTTCATTAAAAACGGCCTCAAGCTCATTAAAAATTGTTGAATAGCTATACATTTCTGATATGCCCATCGATAACAATTTATAAATTAAGTGTTATTTCTATCCATATATTTATTGATAAAATAATAGATGGATTATTTGTCAATCGTACCGCTATATGGTATCAATTTCATTATCAGTATCTTTTATCTTCGACAACATTATCGAAGTATTTGTCGATAGAAGTTAATTGCTGTATTCTTTTTAAAATTTTCACGTGGTTATGTTACTGTTATCGGGATTTTTTTTCGAGATATTTGTCAATATCATTATTGTTGTATACATATCGTTATCGTATTTGTATATATCGTTATCGAAGTATTCCGGTTGATGTCATAATCTATGTATTAAGTGACCTATCGTTTTTTTCAGTTGTTGTACTTACGGATATTTGTTGATAAAGTAATAGAAGTATTAGCCCTTATACTTACCGATATTTTGTACCGATTTTGGTATCTTTTTCGGTACAATCATGGAGGTATTTATCGATACTAGCTGCCATTTTTTGTTGAATTCTTTGACAATAGGTCTTACGTTTTTGTTATCGTTAAAGAATATATTTGTCAATATCGTTATCGATGTATCTTGATTGACATACCATTTGTTTTACCGATTTTTCAACCTTTGTACTCACGGGCATATTGATTGTCTAGATTCTAGAATATAGGTGCCATTAATTTAATATTTCATGTGTTTATATTACCGTTGTCGAAATTGTCTTGTAGATCTCGCTATCGATGTTCATATTTTTGCTGATGTATTAGATAATGTATTTAGCGATGAACTTACTATCGATTTTTTATTGAATACATTCGATATATCCGCAGATCTCGCTATAGACGTATCTTTTTGGATAAATTATTCAGCGCATTATCTGATATCGTTATGTTATATGGATTTCAATATCTATGTCCTCCTTGAGGCATTTATCGATATAGTTATCGATTTATGTGATAGATTTTCGATTAATTTATTAATCTTCAACGCCATTTGATATCGTTATCAATATCAGTATCCTTTGTCTTGTGCGCCTTTTCTTCTTTCTAAAACTGCCCTTCTATAATTACATAGATAGCACATCGATAACAAGTTGGTTCGGGTCTCGGATTCGCGAAGTTCCCTTATTTCTGAAGATGGTACCGGTTTATCTTCAAACAAAATTTGTCAATAGATGATGGGAATTCCTTCCAAAATACATCAACTGCTCACCTTGTCGCAAGAATGAACCACAAACGACATCTTGTTGATTGTAACAGGACAGTGCAGACTTAATCCTTATCGATATAAATAGCATAGTGGGCAAATTGATGAATTTAAGTATGCCAGAAATGGAATCTAAGGATAACAGCTCATCTGATGTCAAATCCTTCCAAATTTTATCCAAAATATACATAGTGAGTGCGCGATATTTTTGCAGGCAGAATGGGATTCTTGAAGATGATTATGGTTACCTTTATTTTATGTATCTCACGAATAACTCCCGTACATAAATATCACAGTTCTAACCAATTAATCTTGACTATGAATTTCGCTACTAGATATACTGTCCAATAATTTCTCCTGAGGGTCTATTATCGCTTTTCTTCGGATATTTGAAATAATTTCGAAAAACATCTTGTGACATTTTCAATCGTGTGAGCTACATGGAGCTAGACGCATGCAGACGCTATTCATTAGGCTTCTGCATTTTTGAACCACTTTTGATTTAGTTATAAAGGACCAAGGTCAAAATGGCAGCCCGGCTATTTGAAAATCGGGTGACGCGATTTTCGCGAAGATGGCAGGTGTTGGTGTGATTCAATATTGCACCACTTGCAAAGTCAGGTAGATGAAATTATTTTCTTGTCCAAATGGTGTCCAATTAAACCTCTGCTCCAAAGGCTAATGCTCCCTTTGGAATCAGGTGGACACTTCAATTACCAAATATTGGAATTCAGATGCAGACGGGAAAATGCTTCGAACCGCCAATCGAATTCTGGTTCTGGCGGTATGCAGAGATAGAACTTCACTTTGCCCTTTTCCCCATACCACTGTATATGTACTTACA